AAAAAAAAAAAAAAAAAAAGAATTGACTGCTTAGGTGATCAAAGGTACAAACTCCCAGTTATAAAATAAATAAATCCTGGAGATGTCATAAACAGCATGGTGACTATAGTTAATAATACCATGTTGTATATTTCAAAGTTGCTAAGAGAGTAGATCTTACAAGTTCACCTCACAAGAAAGAAAATTGTAACCATGTCTGGTGGTGGTGTTAACTATACATACATATTGTGGTGATCATTTCCCAATATATACAAATATTGAATCATTATGTTGTACACCTGCAACTAATATAAGGCTACAGGTCAATTGTATCTCAATTTTAAAAGAAAGGAAAGAAAAAAGAAACTACCAAAACAAAAAGATTAAGAGCAGTATTTTTTTGTTTGTTTGTTTGTTTTTGGGTCTTTTGTTTTGTTTTTTTTGAGAGCTAAAGCCTATTCAAAGGAAAGTGGGTTCAAAATTTTTCTTTTTCAATGCCTAGGAGTAGCCTTAAATTCTCTTTGCTTTTAACTTACTGTCATAACCTTGGGCGCCCCACCTCACCCCACCCTCACATCCAAGGCTGAGGCACTTTGTGTAAGTCTCAGAGACACAGGGTGTTCGCGGTGGGTGCCCGGAGGGCTCTGTGCTTAGTAACTGTTGTAAGGGTGACCAGTGGTTATGAGAGGTGGCAGCTCTGTCTGCCTCCAGTAACAAAATTGATGGTGATGACTAAGTTACAGTAGAAATATCTCTCGATCTCTGAGTTCCTCCTCTGTCCTGACACATCTCTTTTTCTTCATAGGAAATAGGAGCAAGCTTAGGCAAGGGTCTCTGTGTGGAGAGAACCCTCTTTTATTGTTTAACTCATTCATTACCAGACTCTCATGAGGAAACTGGGACCCACAATTACTGAGAGCCAACTAAGCCCAAGACACATTTAGACATATATTTAATAACAACCACAGTCAGTTGTTAATGGGAAGTCAAGAAGTTGAAGGCAAGTTTCTCAACTTTTAGGTGGATTTCATGGAGGGCAAAGCCCATGCTCTCCCTCAAAAGGAAAGCCTTTGGAGACAGACACTCTGCTCTCCCTCCATAGCTCTGTGCCCTTGCACCAGTTAGTGACTCTAGCTAAGCCTCAGTTTTTTCATCATTTAAACAGACATAATATGGAATACTATAACCACCAAGGTTACAAGCATTAGATAAAATCACTAACTCAGCTATATATACCAACTCGCTAGTCGTTGGTAGCCAAAACCCAGACCCCATAGACAGAACTATCCCCATGGCTCCTGTATGGTAAGGCCAAATGTCAGCTGGCATTACTTCTCAGGCATGGTGTTTTTTGTACCTGGCTGGTCCCTGGGCCACTTGGGTGCACGATTCTTGACCTGGGGCAATTCCATTAGCTTTTATAGGTGAGGAAACCAAGGCATAACACCACTCAGCTCACTACTGCCTGTAGGCAAATTTGCAATTCCATGACTGGCAAAGCCGGAGTGCTTTCTTAAATGGTCACTGGGGCTCCGGTGCAAGCCAGAAAACTGGGCTGCATGGGTTTTGTAAATCACTGCATCTATATACCACTTATCAAATGTTTTTATAGCTTGAGTTCATCTAGTTCAAAGAATGCAGAATATTCTCTAGAGAATAAGACTAGCTCATTCTATGCTAATTGTAGTAAAAGTGAAGGTAATGATGGGGCTTAGCAGTAGCAGTAATTGGAATTTATTAGGCACTTACTATGTGCCAAGCATCCTGCTGAGCATTAAACATGTCTTACGTCTTATTTCACATAATTAGCCCAAAAGCCAGAATGCTCCTTTTCATTTAATCTTCAGACCTGCAAAAAGTTGGCAAGAATAAATTGCTTCACCTACTCTGTAGGATCTATCTATGTGCTCAAGAACTGCACCCAAATTAAATCTCTTCTGAATTTTGAATGTGGTATGTGTGGTTTTAAGTGGGCAATTAAGAGACAGGTATCTCTGGGAATAAAACACAAGAGGAGAAGGTTAATTCTTAATCATCTGAATCTGGAGCCATTTGATAGTGACTTATAATATATATCATATTGCTCAATCTCGTTTAGAAGATGGATTGCAGGGTGGAGTGGGAGAGGTGCCTTCTAGTCCGTTCCAATGAAATGTTTCTGTGTTATCACAACATAGTAGTTTCTGTAAGGTAAGGGGGTTAGAAATGCCTGTCTTCCTGTGGACAGATGCCAGGTGGAGGAAATAAACAGATACAGTTCCCACTGGAGACAGATGCCCTAAAAAAAATGTTTCCTATTTTGCTGCCACGGCAATGCCAGCTGCTTACAACATAAAGTCAAGGGGAGAAGAAAGGGAGACACAGTAGTGTCTGGGAGTGAATAAAGTAGAAAATAAGAAAAAGACACATTCCAGTTTTGTTGATAAAGTATAAACTTCTACAACTGAGTTAAGTGGCAGCCCTGATTCTTAAGTAAACGAAGGTGTGCTCAACCTGACAATTAATGGGGCCCAGGGCGCTATTACCTGATGCGTTGCTGGGAGTAGCAGAAAGCTGGAGCAGGACAGCTTCTAGTCATTCACTCTAGAGATCACAACTGGCACGGCCCAGACATTGCCTTCCGTGACTGTCCTAGGATTAACTCAGATGGAGTTTTAACTTAGATGAGCTGTTTTACTTAATTGCCAACATTTAAAAAATTAAAGACCTTGACAGAAAAATCTAGATCTCTGATATCCTTTAAAAAATGAGAAAATGGGGCGCCTGGGTGGCTTAGTCGGTTAAGCGTCCGACTTTCGCTTAGGTCATGATCTCGCGGTTCGTGGGTTCGAGCCCCGCGTCGGGCCCTGTGCTGACTGCCAGCTCGGAGCCTGGAGCCTGTTTCAGTCTGTGACTCCCTCTCTCTCTGACCCTCCCCTGCTCACGCTGTCTCTCTCTCTCTCCTAGAAATAAATAAAACATTAAAAAAAATTTTTTAAAAAAAATGAGAAAATGGGCAAACACCAGACCTTCATTTTCACCGATCAACTTCTCAGCCCTCCCCCCACCCACCGCCACGGTTGGTCCCCACTATCACCATGGTTCCTCAGTGCTGAGGCCAAGTATTAGCTACCACAAAGCCCTGAAATGGCATTTTTTTACCTGGCTGACCCCTGTGAGCCCTTCAGTGCATGTACCCTGAGCTGGAGCAACCCCATTATTTTATAGATGAGGAAACGAAGGCAAAGCCTCACATGGCTCACGACTGCCAGAGTCCCAGTGTTATGACAGGTAAGGCCATTTGCGGAAGGGCCCAGATGACCTCTTGCCAGTTCTCCAAAGGGATCCTAGAGTCCAGACACACTAGGTGTCCCCTCGTCACGCATGGTCAAGACTCTGTTCCCTCTGTCTCAAATGTCCTTCGGGTTCTTGCTCGTCCTTTCAGACTCCTGGTATTTCCACCCTCACTCCCCAGGCAGAGAAGTGTCCACATGGCACTTTGTACCTACTTCAGCAACAGATGCAGAATCCTTTGGGGAACTTCAATGTTAAAGCACTCTTTCTGATGTCACTAGTGCCTACCACAGTGCCACGACACATCATGAGCTCTGAATAAATCCGGTGTTCCCTGGGGATAAACAACTTGTCCTCAGATATGTAAAGATACTCATAATGTATAATGCAAAAAACGGGTTAATAGCATATTCAGCCCATAAGGAACACTCAGGCTGATGAAGTATCAAGTCAGTGACCTTGAAAACTGTATCTCTGTGACAAATGCAATTTCTACCAGCTCAAGCCTTGCTCCGGGCGTTGAGACTCCTTGATCAATATGGCTTGTGAGATATCAGAAGAACCCCCAAGGTCCTAGATACCTTTCCCACCAGCCTGCCAAGGTGCTTAAAAGCCCAGTGCATGAACATATATGCATTAAGGCTTTTCCTATTAAAATGCAACGCCCCTTCCCCTCTCCTTCTCAGAGCTTACCCCAGCTTCAGTGAACTTATCAACTATTTTTCTATCTGCTGCATTTATCCTGGAATATCTGGGTAAGTTGTGATAGAGTTAAATGAGGGTAAAGTTCTAGGAGAGGGGCCAGGCCTGAATGTCCAAAGTAAGTGACAGGGAATAGGCAGTATGCACAATGTTTAAGTAGAAGGCTTGTTGGAACCCAGACGTCTGGGTCCAATTCTGCTACCTCCCGGGTGAGTGTCTTTTGGTTAGTCACTTACCTTTTGTGCCTCCATTCTTTAGAAAGAAAATGGCGTTAACAAGAGGATCTGCCTCAATGGGGTGTTGGAGAATTGAATGAGGCACTCAAAAACCGTGCCTGACACAGAGTGGTGTTTGCTTCTGTCATTATTAGGAGAGAATGGCAAGAGATTTAGCTCTGAAAGGGGCTGCTCCCTTTCTACCACCTATTGGTCTCCTTTCCCAATTTATACTGACGAAGGAGAGATACAAGGTCTAGAAAGATGAACAGCTTACCGAAGGCTGCAGGCTAGTGGATGGCAGAGCTAGGGCTTCCTACCCTGGGGTCCGCACCCCCAACCTCCGCCTTGGAATTTACTGACGAGGAAGCGAGGAAGGGGCTGTGGGTGGCCCAAAGAAACCGAGAGCGAGGTCTGGCCACTCTCCTTTCTAGAGATGATAGGACCCAGCCCCTGGGGACTTCTTTCTAGAGTCGATTCCACGTCTCTGCTCTCGGGTGGGCTCGAAGCCGGGGCAAACGCCACCCTCTGACACACACGCCCACACCCCCGCGCCTGGGCGTGCCGTCTAAGTCTGGCTCAACGCCGCAACTCGCTGCCCCGCTGGGAGGAAGCGTCGACAGTGGGGTGGCCGGGAAAAGTGACATAATCCGGCCGCGGCGCCCTCCGCGGCAGCCTCCCACGCAGCGCGGGGTGGGCCTCGGCCCTCGCCGGGCCGGTGCCGGGGCCGGGGCTGGGGGCTAGGCCGCGCTCGTCTCCCGCGCGCTCCGTCCCGCGGGCGCAGCGCCTGAGGCCCCGCGGCCCGAGGCGGCAGCGGCGCAGTCGCCGGACCCGCTCCCAGAGCCGCCGCCGCCGCCCCCCGGAGCTGGATGACGGAGTCTAGAAAGACTTTCACCAAATATGGGCTGGGGCTGGAAACGTCCTGAGGTGCGCGCCGCCGGAAACCTCGAGTCCTGCCCCCCGCGGCGACTTCGGGAGCGCGGGCCGGGCAGCCGGCAGGGGGCGGCGGGCAGCGAGCGGCCTGGTGCGCGGAATGCTCCAGCCGGGGTCCCCCAGCCGCGTGGACCCTGCACCCGGTCTCCGCAGGGGTCCCCCGGCGCAGCCGAGGCCCTCCCCGCGCGCCGGCCACCCAGCTCCCGCGGTCAACCCGACTGCCTCTGGCTCTCCCTGCGATCACTTTACAGAGAGGGGGTGGGGGGGGGGAGGAGGGGGCTGGGGCGGGGTGGAGAGAAAGGATGGCCCGGGGGCGCCACCTTAAAGCTGGCCTTTCGTCGTCACCACAAATTGTTCTGTTCATTGAAGTGGCTATAAAAAGTGTAGTTGTGAGACTGGGTGTGCGGGCGAGTACCTGACTACGAGGGCACACGCACGCACACGCGCACGCACACGGCTGTTAGAAGCACTCCTAACCATCCAGGGCAGTGGTTCTAGGGACCACCAGCAGCAACATCACCTCCGGACTTGTCGGAAATGTGGCTAATAAGAAATTCTGGGATAGGGCCCAGCAATCAGTCTTTTTAATCAGTCCACTAGGTGATTCTGAGACCAAAGTTTGAGAACCGCCGGTCTAGGGCTAGGAAACTGGAGTCGACAGTTTTAGGGTGATCATTATTCTCAGTTGCCGCCAGACAGTGAACCCTTCTTTTGGTGACCTAAAATTCCCTGGCAGCAGCGAGTGAGACATGTCCCCATCAGTCAGCTCAAACCTGGGAGCTGCTGAAGACAAGCAGCTCCTTCTCTGTGGCTTGCAGAACAAGGAAACAAGGCGGCCCGTTATTCCCTCATGGGGCGCCGGTTTAGGGAGGGAGGAAGAAAGAGCAAAAGAAAACATGCAGAATTAGCATCCGAAGACACTTACCCATAAACATTTGCACATTTTCCCTCTAATCTGTCAACGTGAACTGATCTGCAGCTCTCAGCGAAAGAGGCGAGAAGGCGACGGGACGTCTGGGGTTTCTGGACCGTCCTGACGCGGGAGGTGAGGAGCTGCAGTTCCTCTGGTCCGATGCCGTCGTTTACTAGCAGGCGCACCAGGACATAGTATATGGAAAGGCTGTGCACATAGGTTGTTACAGTCTCTCCCTCTCCCCCACCTCCTGGCCCTGTTTGCTCCAGCTCCCCAACCCCCCCTCCCACAACACGCAGCTTTAAATGGGCAGCTGATGGTAAGGTTCTCTAAGTTTCTCCTCCAGGGCAAACTCATCCTGCAAGATTCCCCAACTGAAGCCCAGAAACAAACCCACACGCCCTTGTTAGAAAACTTTAATCTGATTTTTAAAGGAATCTCTGGAATGGTCTGTGTTTCAAAGCTGTGCGGCAAACTGAATCTCTGCATATCTCCCGTCCCCCTCAATAAAGGAGCAAGGTATATACACTGGCCAGTTGGATCATTCACTGTAATTTTATTTTAAATCATGATAGACAGATTGCGTGAAAAACAAGGAATTCCAAAGAAGTTCCTGCTCTGGGAACAGAAGTTAAGTCTATATTTAACAACATTTGAAGCTGTCAAGAATGCTTTGTGGTTGGATAACAGAGGCAGAAAAATGTTAAAAACGCAGGCTACTGCTATACCCAAATATGGAAATATTGTTACGTCTGGTGTCTGATTCACCATCTGGAAATACTTACAATCATGAAGTCAAATAGAAAAGACTCCACAACAGAAGCCAGGAACACTCCTCTCCATTCTCTCCCCACGACCTCCTCCCACCCTGTACTGCGCCTACTCACCCCTATCCCCAGTCACTTCATTAAGAGGGGAACAATAATGAAGCTTTAATGCAGCGGAAAAAACAAAAAAACAAAAAACCTTTTCTAAGTAATAATGGATGGACTGTCTTGAGTAGAAGTAGGGCCCAGGTTTTCCTCACTTCATTTGCATAACACCTGACAAGTCCTGAAAAGTAAGCCATACACCCCAAACCCCCCCAACAAAGCCTTAGCGATCCTACTCCCACTAGTAACAGCCTCTTAGACTTATGAAAGGGCACTTTTCAATGAATGAAACTTAACTCTTTCGTGCTACAGTTCTCTTTATTGGATAATGTTTTTATTGCAATAGCTTCTCATTGTGCTTATCAGAGTCATTCACAGAAAAGTTGGCACTGAGGGACTTCTTAAGCAAGACTTAAGTTGTGAAGAACAGCCCTACATATTAGAAGGGACGCAGAGTTCTGGGGCACATATAAAAGAAAGACTGGTATGATTACTTGTGTACAATTTTATTAAAATTGCACAAGAAGATAGTTTTTGAAACTTTGAGGAAGAATTTATCAATAGCACTGATGATATTGATAATGTTAAAGCAAATTGCTTTGTGTCAGGGGGCGGGTCTTTTACCGCGTGTGTTGTAGGTAAAATAGGATCTTAAATTCTGCTAACGCAGTTTTATTACAGAACATTATATCTGAAAATCTCATATTTCTCTGTATTTGGCTGGAAAAGCGCTGCAATCCATTGGAAATGGGAGGCTTCTAAATGGTCCCAAGGAAAAGTGTTAAAAACCCCACGCAACTTTTAGCTTTAGAAATCCATGGGGCACAATGGTGCTGGAATCAGTTTTGGCATTGCAGTGTATACAGGTGATGACCTCAGGACAAATTACTGCAAGGTGGTCCCCTCTGCTTTTGGCTGGCTGCTTAGCTAGCAACGCCTCCCGACCGGGGAGGGAGGCTGGAAGGGCTTACCCTGTCTCCCGCATCCGTGAGGAAGCAGAAGTCAGCCTCCCGGAGAACTCCCTGCATTTGTTTCCTCTCGGACTTCCAACCCAGGCAGTGGGCTGGAACTAAAGTGGGAACCTCCAAAAACAAACAAGTTCGACACACCAAAAAAGGGAGGGGGGGGGAAGGGGGAAGACCTCTGCCTGGGAATCTGCCAGACGATGGGGGAAGCTGACTTTTTTTTTTTTTTTCTCCTTCTCATTCATAAATGCCACTGCGGGTATTAATTTGCAATACGCTTAACTTGGCTAATAAACACCACACCAAAGCTGGGACTTGATTCGAGCGTGGCTCTATGAAATCCCCAAATAGATTGCTGGCTCACAGGCACGCTCCCCCTCCCCGTTCGCCTCTCCATAGATAATTTCACTCTCACCTTCTCTGTAAACAAGCAAACAGCTCGCTGCCTTTCCGGGTGAGGGCTTCCAAGGCTGCCCGGTCAACTCGGCATCACCAAACAAAACCACTTTTGTTCTTCCCTCCCAGGTCCTCCCACCCTCCCAGTCCAGGCAAAGTTTTGAACTCGCGCCCCTCACCCTTTCCACCTCCATCACTACCATCGCGCCAGGAAGAGCCCTCCCAATCGAAGTCGTTATTTAAAGTGGAAAAAACGGTAGATTGTTTTCTAGACGGGTCCAGGACAAAAAAAAAAAAAAAAAAAAAAGGTGCACTGGAGCCAGGGGAGGCGCTTGGCAGCAGCCCGCGCCAACCAGCATTCCTGAGATGTTTGAGAATTCTGGAACGCGCAGACAGAGCCGACGTCACTGCAACACGCGGCGCCGTGGCCGGCCCGTATAAAAGGCGGGCTCTGGGCGCTCGGGCAGACCGCGAGCGAGAGCGCCCCCGAGTAGCACCCGCGCCCTTCGCGCCTCCTCGGGAAGGACCTCGGGAGAAGGACACTTGCAGCCCGCTCGCCGCCCCGGCCCTCGCCCTCCTGCCACCCGGCCCGCCGCGCCGCCGCACGGACCGGAGCCCGTCCCATCTCCCGCATCCACGCACCAGACCTCGACCGCGGCGCACCAGTGTGTCGGCGTCTTCGCTTCCGCGCTCGCCCGGACTCCTGCGCGCCACAATGAGTTCCCGCACCGCCAGGACACTCGCCTTCGCCGTCACCCTTCTCCACTTGGCCAGGCTGGTGAGTTCTTTTGCCTCCGCTTCCCCATACGCTCTTCCAGGCCTTTCCCCTTTCCCCGGATTGCCCCCCGCAGAGATAACTGAACCAAAAAGTTCGGGGGCATTTCGGGTTAGCTCTTTCGTCAAGCCCCCCTGGAGATGCGTCGGGGGGCCTGTGGGCCAAAGCAGCCGCCAAGGGTGGCCGGGCTGGACAGGGTCCGAGACCCCCTGCGGACGGAGTCCCTGGGCTCCTACGCTAACCGCGCCCAGTCTTACGCGTGCCTTTCCCCCCCACCCCCCTCCAGGCGCTCTCCACCTGCCCTGCCGCCTGCCACTGCCCCCAGGAGGCGCCCAAGTGCGCCCCGGGAGTCGGGCTGGTCCGGGACGGCTGCGGCTGCTGTAAGGTCTGCGCCAAGCAGCTCAACGAGGACTGCAGCAAAATGCAGCCCTGCGACCACACCAAGGGGCTGGAATGCAATTTCGGCGCCAGTTCCACAGCTCCGAAGGGGATCTGCAGAGGTAAGATGCTTGTGGTTTGGCCCCTTTAAAAAAATAATAGTCCCCGTAGTCCAGAAGTTTAGTAATTTTGAGACCATGTATGGTGATGCTTTGTTGTTGGTAGCTTGGCAGAAAGGCACATGATTTCAGCAGTCTGGAATGCAATTCAGTGTGTCTGGGCCCAACGAAAAGCGCATACGGAAAAGTGATTCCTGACTAACTTATTGTTCTGGTCTGGAGTCCCCGAGGAATTGTAGGAAACTTTACCATAAATTGAATTTAACAGCAGAAAATATGTATGAGTTTCAGGCCATGGATGGGAATCTTAACTTTCTCCTTTCCCTTTCTCTTTCGGTGCTCTTTGCAGCTCAATCAGAGGGCAGACCCTGTGAATATAACTCCAGAATCTACCAGAATGGGGAAAGTTTCCAGCCCAACTGTAAACATCAGTGCACATGTATCGACGGCGCTGTGGGCTGCATTCCTCTGTGTCCCCAAGAACTCTCTCTCCCCAACTTGGGCTGTCCCAACCCCCGGCTGGTCAAAGTCACCGGGCAGTGCTGTGAGGAGTGGGTCTGTGACGAGGACAGTGCCAAGGACCCCGTGGACGACAGGGATGGCCTCCTGGGCAAGGGGCTGGCATTTGATGCCTCAGAGGTGGAGTTAACGAGGAACAATGAATTAATTGCAGTTGGAAAAGGTGGCTCCCTGAAGCGGCTCCCAGGTAAGTTGAAACTGAGCCTGAAAGACGTTGTACTGAAATACATTCCTAGTTTGAAGCTTTGTAGAAACGAGCCGAGTGTGTTGGTGTCATTATGCCTCTGAGAAATTTTCCCTCTTGTTTGCCTCTAGTTTTTGGAATGGAACCTCGAATCCTATACAACCCTTCTCTACATGGCCAGAAATGTATCGTTCAAACAACTTCGTGGTCCCAGTGCTCAAAGACCTGCGGAACTGGTATCTCCACACGAGTTACCAATGACAACCTTGAATGCCGCCTGGTGAAGGAAACCCGGATTTGTGAAGTGCGGCCTTGTGGACAGCCGATGTACAGCAGCCTGAAAGTAAGTTCCCGCGGTGCTTGCTGGAGACTGTTCCCTGGCAGCTGGGCGAGATGTGAACCCCTCTTCCAAGACAGACAAACACTGTCCTTGACTCTCCTGCTTTCCTCTTTCTTACAGAAGGGTAAGAAATGCAGCAAGACCAAGAAATCCCCCGAACCAGTCAAGTTTACTTACGCTGGATGTTCGAGTGTGAAGAAATACCGGCCCAAGTACTGCGGCTCGTGCGTGGACGGCCGGTGCTGCACGCCCCAGCAGACCAGGACTGTGAAGATGCGCTTCCGTTGCGAAGATGGGGAGACATTTTCCAAGAACGTCATGATGATCCAGTCCTGCAAGTGCAACTACAACTGCCCGCATGCCAACGAGGCGGTGTTTCCCTTCTACAGGCTGTTCAATGACATTCACAAATTTAGGGACTAAATGCCACCTGGGCTTCCAGTGCAAGGGTGAACAAGGAGGGGGAGAAGAGTGCCAGAATCACGGCGATATGGGTGGGGGCGGTGGGGGTGAGGGATTCATTGTAGAAGGGATGCATTGCTCATTCTTGAGTAGTATTAAGGTATTTTGAAACTGCCAGGTGTGCTGGTGCGGATGGACACAAACGCAGCCACGATGGGAGAATACTTCGCTTCATAATACTG